CTGCGCCCAGTTCAGATATTCCTGGCTCCCTACGTTAGACGTATCCATTGTCCCCCCCGGATCACCTCAAACCTCGTCTCCGGTGGTGGACGGTGGAATCGAATGTCTTAGGCGGCGTCTTATTGACAGGGCTTACGACCTCTCTACACCTTTTCGTAGACGCCTCCCTGCAGGGATGGGGAACACACCAAGAGGGACAGGTCGCCTCGGGGCTCTGGTCTGCCAATCAGTGCCTTTCAACAAGCTGTAGGCACTTATCTTTGCCATCGCTCATTGAGAGCAGGCCCTCTCACATGCCCGGCTCTCCACTTCGACGGAGAACATAACCGTCGTCTGCTGCCTATGGAACACTCACTTGACCTCGCTCCTTCAACAGACGTTCCGATTGTTTCACCTGGTGGATCATCGGGAAATTCAGTTCCAGGTTCGACACATTCCGGGCTGCTGAAACATCCTAGCTGATGCTCTATCTCGGCCAGGCAAAGCCGCATGACATAGTGGAAGCTTCACCCAGACGCCTTCGCTCTTGTTTGTCTAGACCATGGTCTCCCCAACATAGACCTATTCGCCACCAGCCAGACCTACCAGATCCCGACCTACATATCTCCGGTCCCCGATCCACTGGCTTGGGAAGTCGGCGCTTTCAGCGTCCCAGGGGAAGAACTAAAAACGTACGCTTTTCCGCCACCTGTACTCCTTCCCAAAGTCGTCCAAAAGATCAGATCGACACAGAACCTCGATCTGACTTTGGTCACGCCCTGGTGGTCCGACGCCATCCCACTGCCACTTCAAGATTGGCCAAATCTGCTGATCCACCCTCACAGCAGACAGCCACACCCAGGACCAGACAGCTATGTCTTCACGTCTGGTCCATTTACAGAGAGCACTGAAAGCCAAAGGCTACTCGGCCAGAGTGGCTAGGGCCATCACAATGGCACATCGCCCAACCACCAGGAGCCTCTATGATGACAAGTGGCAATCCTTCAAGAGCTTTTGCAGGGGCAAGCAACAAGACCCTACATCTGCATCGCCTCAATTCCTGGCCGAGTTCATGCTCCATCTACCTTGTGGCACTCAACTCTGTCCTGGCAGTTCCGGAAGATCGGCGCATGACGTAAATCCCGGAACAGGCTCTGCTCCGCTCTTTCAGGCTGGAAGACCAAAAGGCGAAATCTTGTACACCAGTTTGGGTCTTGAATATCATTCACATCTCGCTGAGAGACGCGCCCTTCGAGCCACTCAAAGTGATGTCATTCTACAATCTGACAAAAAATGGTCTTCCTACTGGCGCTTGCCACAGCAGCCCGTGTCAGTGAGCTACACGCCTTGGACGTCCGCGTCCGCATTGAGCATGGAGCACACAGAGCCGTGCATCTTCGACTGTACTGGGACTTCTTCACCAAGAATCAATTCCCATGACAGCCAGATAGATCATTCCTCATCCCTCCCCTATCTTCGATTGTGGGTGCGGAAGATACCCTAGAGCTCTGTCTACGTCCGGTTAGAGAGCTCTGTTGCTACATCAGATGATCCAAGGAACGCCGTAGATACCGACAGCGCCTCTTCACTCCGGTATAGAGCTGCGACTTTGCAAGCGGAAGGTAGCCGCAACACAATCGCCCTCTGGCTACGAGCCTTCATTCTCCAGGCCTACGAGGCCATGGGATTGGACCCCCAGGCTCCAACACCCTGCATGAGACCCGGGCGATCGCCTCCACCATGGTGCTACAAGTACTACTTGCCATCATTGAGGTGTGTTCTGGCGATCAAACGCATTCATTGTCAGTCACCTGCAAGACTTCTCATTGGAGGATGTGCTAGGCACGCACAACTTGGTCCATGAGTAGTGCCCAACATGCATCACTACTACATGTCACTGACCTCGCCTCCAAGTCCAGAGCCGGCCTTTCGACCTCCACTGGCGTAAGCCATGCCCCACTTGCATACGGCTCGGTACTCCAGTCTCGACCTAACCGAGAGTTATTGTCAGGCTGCGCAGTACCAGGACACAATGCACACCTGACTCTTCCCTTCCATGTAATGGTCATCCAGGCTGACCGTAAAGCCGAAGACGGGCTGAGGGAAACGGAGTTTCCCATACATGGAGTGGTCACCTGAATCCAGCCACACAGTAGAAGACAGGATGAGGGAATTGAAGGTTCACATACATGGAGTGGTCACCCGAAGCTGACCACACAGCCAAAGATTAGCTAGGGAACAGACTCTGGAAATAAAAAATGAAAGTCCACATCTGAAGGTATGCCCACCTCCGGTTCTGTCTGATAAAGATGCATTAAGGAGTAATGCAGGATAAGTAAAATATCTAGTAAAATCCTAGATTTTTTATTTTTTATATTTGTATACTTGTATACAACATCACTGCGTCTAAAGGGACCCAGCCATCGCAGATCTACCTCCCCATGATGTCTTCAGATGTTTCAGACTCCATAGTAATGTGAGAATCCGTGACGTCACTTCCTTTGGTCACGTGGGAGCTGCGTGATAGGGTTGGCCTCTCAGCTGGTTGGAACAACTTCTTCAAGCAAAGACCTTCACACAGCTCTTTTCTTTGTCAAGAACAAGCAGTAATATGCATTAAGGAGTAATGCAGGATAAGTATACAAATATAAAAACATATCTATGATTTTATTAGATATTTATGAGTTAGTGAAATTTCAAGTTCATATCTAGCATTGTCAATAGATTGAGTACAGTACAGCAGTTCTCAGCTTATACAAAATCTAAAACTCTGTTGTGGTCAAATAGATCTTCAGCACCCTTCATCAGATCCTCCAGCAACCATCCCTCTTCAACCACAGGAAGAAGGAAGGCAGTTCATTAGAGAACACTGAACTCAAGTACTTCAGGCTCTCTGCAAATTAAAAGAAAACAGAACTCTGTTGTTAATACTACTGAAAGAAGAGAAAACATCAACCTCGAGATCAAAGCAGCACTGCGAAGAAGAGAAAGAAATCATAGTACATAAGTACACTTTTGAGTTCTGGTTCTGAGACAGACTACAGCGACACTGAAACTGATGCCATGGAGTTAGGTCATCAAACACCGAGTACACCTTCGTCCCCACAGAGTGTTTTTCTTGCAGGCCAGTCTGTTGCATATGAAGGCGCTTGGTATCCTGAAACTGTAATGAATGTTCTTTTATAATCCAAGGCAACTATGACTTCACCAAACAAGGTGTTCAGGTTCAAGACAAATTTTCCAATGGCCCCAAAAGCCTGAAATTATGCAAAAAGAAAATATTTTTGTATTTTCAACTTTGAAATTCAGCCTTATAATTCATCCAGAAGAATGTTCATGATTCCCATTGAAAAGAAATTACAAAGAAATTATGAACAGGTAACATTGAAGTTTTTTGAGGTGCATCACCAGAATAGATGATTCTTCTTGAACCTTCTTTGCTGATTTGATCTGTAAAAGATATGCTAATGATGCAAAGTGATGTTAACTTATATTTTGTTATTTTGAAGAAATAGAGGCCTTTTTTTTAAAATTATTATACAAAAATGGCGACCATGTTGAAACCAAGATGGCCACCCTATTCTGTGATATTATGCGTCAATACTTACTTTACAAACATTCCAAGTTGCAATGATATTACTTTCTGTTATGATTATCTAACTGCTTTGAATCCAATGAAATGAGCCCAAAAGAGTCCCATTTCCCCTTAGCATTTCCTTTCTGTAACATTTCCAGAAATAGCCAATTTTTGGCGTTGAAAAATTAATCTTAAAAATCCAATTTTTTCCGATTTTCCAAATTAAACAGGTTTCTTTACTTCTTATTTTATTCTTCATTTCGTGTAATTATTATTTATTTTGACATAGCACCTTTAGTGCCATAATCAGGGATGTGAAATCTCCGCAGATTTTTAAAACAGTAGTCCTCGGGAAAAATCATCTTCTGCGTAAAAATATAATCAAAGATTTAAAAAAAAACACTCCGAAAAATTTGATCGAAAACAGGACGATCGTTGCGGATTGTCCTGTTTTCGATCAGAGCTTTCAGCAGCATAGGTTTTCGGACATCATACGTTTTCTATCACGAATACTTGCACTATAACGTGGGGTGTTGCGTCACACAGAAATTGTAAATGGCTTGTCAGATGATGGCTTGTTTTTAAGATAAAGTTGTCTTTTGGCCGGTAAGTGAATTAGATGTTTTACAGTTGTTCATGTGATTAGCGAGAAAACTGTGAATGTTTCTTCAGCTTCCAAAAACCCATAACATGGAGATATATGTTGTATAAATGTCTTATGTTTGCAATGGAGTTTTGTTTTTTTCAACAAAAGGTAAGTAAGTACAAGGTAAGTTTTTTTCAATATGCTTCAACATGGGGAAAGGGTCAGACATTGCACGCTTGTGACAGTTGTCCTTGTGTCTGGGGGATGGGGGTTGAAGTTTATGGCAGTATTGCTCCCAGACCTGGCGGGTAGCCAGGTGCGCGGAAGAGATTTTTTAAAAGTACTGATTTAACTTCGAAATTTTATTGCATCTGCCATCTTGTTTATTTGACTTATTGACTTTTGCCATTGACTTATTACATTTCTTGGTGTGAATGTTGTCCAAACTGCACGAAATTGCTTAAAATGCAATCAAATGTTTAAAAAATTTCTGGGGGGGGCATACCCCCAGACCCCCCTAGACTTCCTCTTTTTTTTTGAAAACCTGCTCACATCCCTGCATAATGATTGACAGTAATAACAGAACACTAATTTGATCAACATCACGACGTCAGCCTATATGACATACTCAAAAAGTTGACTTTATTGCAGGATAAAGTACAGACAGTGATATTGATCTTTTGGCAAAGTATCTTGTAGGTATATGTCTATATGACTTACGTATGGTAGAGTACAGTTGACATCAATAGTTCTGCTGCAGAGCTGGTCATGTAATGCGGTCATGTGATGCTATCAAGTGACATAATATGATCATGTCAGTGCTTATGTAATTGTACTGTGCAAACACCTATTTTGCAGAAAGGAAGATGAGTGGGAGACAGTTTCTTGAGACACTCAAACAACTGGACTACCCAAATGCCGATAGCCTGGACCCACAGATGTTCAACTGGATGTTTGAGAATGAGACTGTGTCAGCTTTTCTGCAGTGGTTCTGTGCCAGCGTCAGCAGCAGTAACGTGTTGCTTCCTGTGGAGCTCCAGCAGTAAGTTTGTTTTTTGTTTAATGCCAGACTCAGCAATATCACTCAGCTATAGGATGGCGGTCTGTAAATATTCGAATCTGGACCAGACAAACCACTGATTGACATCATAAGCATTGATAAAGACCATATGATGACATGCATCAGCCAAGTCAATGAGTCTGACCACCCGATCCCAACCCAACAAGGATAGTCACCTGTTACGGCATGGGTTGCTGAAGGCCAGCAGTCAGCAGACGTACATGAGGGTCAGTATTGATGGTAGGATAGTGTAACAGTGTGAGGAGCTAGGGAGACCCAGCAGTCAGTAGACGTACATGAGGGTCAGTACTGATGGTAGGATAGTGTAACAGTGTGAGGAGCTAGGGAGATCCAGCAGTCAGTAGACGTACATGGGGGTCAGTACTGATGGTAGGATAGTGTAACAGTGTGAGGAGCTAGGGAGATCCAGCAGTCAGCAGACGTACATGGGGGTCAGTATTGATGGTAGGATAGTGTAACAGTGTGAGGAGCTAGGGAGATCCAGCAGTCAGCAGACGTACATGGGGGTCAGTACTGATGGTAGGATAGTGTAACAGTGTGAGGAGCTAGGGAGATCCAGCAGTCAGCAGACGTACATGAGGGTCAGTACTGATGGTAGGATAGTGTAACAGTGTGAGGAGCTAGGGAGACCCAGCAGTCAGCAGACGTACATGGGGGTCAGTACTGATGGTAGGATAGTGTAACAGTGTGAGGAGCTAGGGAGATCCAGCAGTCAGTAGACGTACATGGGGGTCAGTACTGATGGTAGGATAGTGTAACAGTGTGAGGAGCTAGGGAGATCCAGCAGTCAGTAGACGTACATGGGGGTCAGTACTGATGGTAGGATAGTGTAACAGTGTGAGGAGCTAGGGAGATCCAGCAGTCAGCAGACGTACATGGGGGTCAGTACTGATGGTAGGATAGTGTAACAGTGTGAGGAGCTAGGGAGATCCAGCAGTCAGCAGACGTACATGAGGGTCAGTATTGATGGTAGGATAGTGTAACAGTGTGAGGAGCTAGGGAGATCCAGCAGTCAGTAGACGTACATGGGGCTCAGTACTGATGGTAGGATAGTGTAACAGTGTGAGGAGCTAGGGAGATCCAGCAGTCAGTAGACGTACATGGGGGTCAGTACTGATGGTAGGATAGTGTAACAGTGTGAGGAGCTAGGGAGATCCAGCAGTCAGCAGACGTACATGGGGGTCAGTACTGATGGTAGGATAGTGTAACAGTGTGAGGAGCTAGGGAGACCCAGCAGTCAGTAGACGTACATGAGGGTCAGTACTGATGGTAGGATAGTGTAACAGTGTGAGGAGCTAGGGAGATCCAGCAGTCAGTAGACGTACATGAGGGTCAGTATTGATGGTAGGATAGTGTAACAGTGTGAGGAGCTAGGGAGATCCAGCAGTCAGCAGACGTACATGGGGGTCAGTACTGATGGTAGGATAGTGTAACAGTGTGAGGAGCTAGGGAGATCCAGCAGTCAGCAGACGTACATGGGGGTCAGTATTGATGGTAGGATAGTGTAACAGTGTGAGGAGCTAGGGAGATCCAGCAGTCAGCAGACGTACATGGGGGTCAGTACTGATGGTAGGATAGTGTAACAGTGTGAGGAGCTAGGGAGATCCAGCAGTCAGCAGACGTACATGGGGGTCAGTACTGATGGTAGGATAGTGTAACAGTGTGAGGAGCTAGGGAGATCCAGCAGTCAGCAGACGTACATGGGGGTCAGTACTGATGGTAGGATAGTGTAACAGTGTGAGGAGCTAGGGAGACCCAGCAGTCAGCAGACGTACATGGGGGTCAGTACTGATGGTAGGATAGTGTAACAGTGTGAGGAGCTAGGGAGATCCAGCAGTCAGCAGACGTACATGAGGGTCAGTACTGATGGTAGGACAGTGTAACAGTGTGAGGAGCTAGGGAGATCCAGCAGTCAGTAGACGTACATGAGGGTCAGTATTGATGGTAGGATAGTGTAACAGTGTGAGGAGCTAGGGAGATCCAGCAGTCAGTAGACGTACATGGGGGTCAGTACTGATGGTAGGATAGTGTAACAGTGTGAGGAGCTAGGGAGATCCAGCAGTCAGCAGACGTACATGGGGGTCAGTATTGATGGTAGGATAGTGTAACAGTGTGAGGAGCTAGGGAGATCCAGCAGTCAGCAGACGTACATGGGGGTCAGTACTGATGGTAGGATAGTGTAACAGTGTGAGGAGCTAGGGAGATCCAGCAGTCAGTAGACGTACATGGGGGTCAGTACTGATGGTAGGATAGTGTAACAGTGTGAGGAGCTAGGGAGATCCAGCAGTCAGTAGACGTACATGGGGGTCAGTACTGATGGTAGGATAGTGTAACAGTGTGAGGAGCTAGGGAGACCCAGCAGTCAGTAGACACACATGGGGGTCAGTACTGATGGTAGGATAGTGTAACAGTGTAAGGAGCTAGGGAGACCCAGCAGTGAGTGGAAGATGTGTTTATGGGGCTTATTTTCCAAAGACAGTGAACAACAAGCAACAGAAAGTATTGTAGTGACACATTATTTGTCAAGGCCCAATACCAACATGTGATAATATAAAGCAATCCAGCTGAACTTGTTTACTTTTGACAGATTTGCAGAGCTAGAGAGGTCTAATGAGGGTGTTCTTGAAGGAAATGTGCTAGAAGATGCCTTGAAAACCTTTTCCACCTCTACAAAGAACAAGGAGACAGTGGAATCCTTGAGGTAAGATACTCCTTTAACAATCTTGCAAAGAATTTGAAGGAAGTGAATGTATCTGTTGCGTATTGTTCACAGGGATTTACGTAGGATTCCCAACCATGTGCCCTTGCAGGAATATTGAGAAGAATCGTTATTTTGTTCAAAAGTGGGATTTTTTAAAAGTTATTTTCCTGTTATTTATTATTTTATTATCCCTCCACAACTGTATGCAATATTCCTTCTTGCTTCGATCGTAAGACAGTGTAGAACGATGTAGAAACGTTCACCCAAACACACCCTCCGAACAACTTGCTCCTAGCATGCTCCCGTGTTACTCATCATCTTTTCCAACATTCACCCAAGTGACAAGACATGTCATAAGCCAATATGTGTGATTTCCTCTCTAAAATATGGCATTGTTGCAGCATACTCCACTTTATTCATCCACGGATCACACTTTATGGATCAGGGATGTACTGAAGCTTGACGAGCCTGTTCCTACACCAATGTAGAAGTGCACTTTCGACCTGATGGTGGTCAAGGCACCTACACATACAGTCCCCATTCATACTTTGGTTGATGGGATGCGGACGCTAAAAAAACATACGAGGGCCCACTTGCACAAAGCAATCTTAAGCCAATGTTAAAGTATAGGAGTAAGGATCATCTAAGCGCTCCCCTCCCTTTGTCGCTCATCAAAATCTTCGTGAAGTTATTTTTAATTACCATAATAGACTGTCTGGAGACCGACTTGCTTCGGGAATTGACCTTGGTCGACAATATCAGATTCTAACGCACATGACAGGCTCCCTCCTTCTCTTGAGATGCCAGGCTTACACTGAGGAAGCGAGGTGGCGTCCATCTCAGCTATTTAAGCAGGGTAACTCTCTGGCGCTGGGCAGAGATGGTAATGCCTCTCCTCAACTAGTGGGCAATTGGACCCTCTACAGCCTCCAGTCGTCCTTCCGCATGACACTCTCATCGGCAGCCTATAATAGCTTAGCAAGGGAAATGTTTACTTCCAATTTGGGAAATTTACTAACATTTGCAGCAGACTTGGGGCCAAATATCTGAGCAGGTCTAGAAGACCCTGGTTCATGGACACTATGTTGCATTGATTAGAAATCATATGAGGAAAAATATTGATATCTCAGCAACTAGAATGATATTAGATAAATGAAAAAAGTTACCTTATCTGGGGCATGAAGAAGAACAATTTGGTACAGCTCAGGGAGATGGACTGCAAACTGAATAGCAGGAGATGAATAAAGCTCTTGATGTCTCAGTCACATCTGTCATCAGGGGTTAAAGTAATCACTACCCGACTTCACTAAGTCAGTCTAGCTGCTTCATCACTGCTTACAGGGTCATTCCGGAATCTTTGCCTGCAAGATTCCCATAGAGTAAGATATCTTTGTGCTAGGACCTTGTAAATCAGTGTTGCAGATCTGGAGTGACACAAAGCAATCTTTGGACTGTCATGTGTATGTGTATCATGTATATGTCATGGATGCTATGTAATATGTATCCTCACCTGTTTTCAGGGAGAGAGTATCCATATTACATGAAGACTTGGATGAAGACAAGAGGAAGAAGCAGCAGTTGGTTCACAGAAGAGATAGACTGAAGTATGAAAGCATGTTAAAGTGCACAGTTGGTGTGGATTTTCTTAAGATATTTATCACAATATCTGACAATGTTGATACAGACATTAGCTAGCTTCACTTCAGCTCAGTGCTCTGATATCCCAGTGTACTGATGCAGTGTTCCTGTTTGCCAGTAATTGCCAGAACAAAGTCAGCTTATCTGTTACCTCAGGGTTTCCCCTTGTTGATTTTTAGTGCAAGGAAATAACATTTCGCTTTTCATTTAGGTTAGAAATATCTTTGTAGTGACCTCGTCTTGAAATATTTGAAAAAAAAGAAGAGAAAATTCAGAGATGATGTCATTGCACTAAATATGATGTTGAAAGAATTATAACCAGGTTATTTTCATACATAAAAAAAATTAGGGGGGGACTGGTAATTTTTAGAGTTGCCAATCCACCAGGACTGGCAGTTTCAAAGGCCAGCTGAAACACTTGATGACACGGTAATAGAATGCATTGTTTTATGTATATCTGATTTACATAGAAGATATTTTTGAGATAATATACAAACTTCATATATACTAGGGCTGTTACGATTCATTCACGTATTCGGTGAATCAAACTGTATCCATTCATGAATAGAATTCGTTCTTCATGGCCACTAGAATCGAATATTTATGAATATGCAATCATGTGCATTTTCATACCCTGAACCTAAAAATATCAATAAGAACATTATAAGCATAGATTCTTCAAAGACAACACTCTTTTAATATTTAATTTGAAAGTATTGTGGCCACTGGTCGCATTTGAGCAGATACTAGTGCCTGGATAAGTGAAGTATATAATATATTAATAGTTAACAAACCATCTCAAATAGTTTGTTGTTATTGTTTCACTGAATATAACAAATAATGCATCAAATGCTGACTTGTTATCCCCATGACTTATAATGACGGGGGGGGATATAGCCATCAGTATGTCCGTCTGTCTGTCCGTCCGTCTGTCCGTCCGTCTGTCCATCTGTAATCATTGTTTGTCCAGAGCATATTTTCTAAACCGTACAACCTAGCTTCACACAACTTGGTACACTTACCAATCAGGCTCAGTAGAAGTGCCTTTTGCTATTTAGAGATTTTTAGAATTTTATATTTTTGTCGTTTCCATGGAAATATGATGAACTTAGGAAATTTGAGGGTACTGCTCTTGTCCAGAGCATATTTTCTAAACCGTACAACCTAGCTTCACACAACTTGGTACACTTACCAATCAGGCTCAGTAGAAGTGCCTTTTGCTATTTAGAGATTTTTAGAATTTTATATTTTTGTCGTTTCCATGGAAATATGATGAACTTAGGAAATTTGAGGGTACTGCTCTTGTCCAGAGCATATTTCCTAAACCGTACAACCTAGCTTCACAAAACTTGGTACACTTACCAATCAGGCTCAGTAGAAGTGCCTTTTGCTATTTAGAGATTTTTAGAATTTTATATTTTTGTCATTTCCATGGAAATATGATGAAATTAGGAAATTTGTGGGTAGTGCTCTTGTCCAGACCATATCTCCCGAACCATACAACTTAGCTTCTCAAAAGTTTTTACACCTATCAAGCAGGTTATGTAGTGGTGCCTTTGCTATTAACAGATTTTTTCTCTTTTTTTTTCTTTTTTCAATTTAAATTGAAAATTGATGAACTTAGTAGGGTAATGTCCTCATCTGGAGCATATCTTCTAAACCATGTGACAGAGATTCACCAAACTTTATGCACATATCAATCATGTTCACTAGTAGTGCAGTTTGTTATTTATAGATTTTAATCTTTTTTATTTGTAGCCCCTGACATTTGAGATCATCAGAAAGTGAGCTACATGAACAAATATTTAATAACCTTCATTATATTTCTGGTTTTGGCATCAAGGAAAAAGATTTCCTTGCCAATCTTAATACATTTGAAGGTACACACAGTTTACCAACATGCCACGACGGGGGGATATGTCATCTTCGGATGACTCTTGTTATTTTTTGTATTCATGAATTAATATTCGTATTCGTTACCCTATATTCATGATACGAATTGTATTCGCATCCTAGTGTATTCGTTGCAGTCCTAATCTATATCTGTTGTGTATATGCCAATCTTGAATCAGTGACATACTTTCAGGTGTTGATAAGTTTGTATTTTTGGTAGTGCTCATCTGACAGGGCTGGGGCATCGGCTGTCTCAGTTGACTGTGCTGGAGTCTCAGGCCAAACGAGACTGTCAGAAGGCAATGGAGCAGCTGGACACAGACAATAATGAGGTTTGTTGCTGCAGTAAACAGAGAAACAGGCCTTGCAGGATTCCCCTGAGAGAGTTCCCAACACCTCTTGCTTGTCGAAAGATGGACCTAAATGAGGATCTGGTGGTCACAGTGTTGGACCTGACGGTTGCCATGGTGCATCAATCAATGCTCATGCTCTACTGATGTGCCTGGTTTACACTAGATTATTTACTGGTCGCTATGACCTGACTGAAATATTGGTGATTGCAATGTCAACAGCATTCACTGACACCCATTGCCTTGTTGTAAATTGTCCTATTGTAATGGTGTATCAGGTAAGAAGCCTGAAGGTCTGTGATAGATTTTCTGCTTGTGAAGTTGAATCAACTCTGTTACTCAGAACCTTTGAATGAGGAGAAGCCTTTGTCCCTCCTGCCTAAATCTTTACCCATGGTTTAGGTTCAAGTCAGACAGACCCGTGAAAATTCCAGGTGAGAATAGGTATTCAGGAACCCATACTTGTCGTAAAATACGACTATGCTTGTCGTAAAAGGGATCGGGTGGTCAGGCTCGCTGACTTGGTTGATACATGTCATCGATCCCAATTGCGTGGATCGATGCTCATGATGTCAATCACTGGATTGTCTGGTCCAGACTCGAATATTTTACAGACCTCCGTCATATAGCTGGAATATTGCTGAGTGCGGCGTTAGGCAACAAACAAACAAAATCAAGTCAGACACAGGGCATGTAGTGTCTGCACCACACTTAGAAACAACAATGTCATATATGCCCCTTATGTGTGGCCTCTCTGTCACGTGGATCCCATGGCCTACATGTCAGTATGAACACTGATTCCCTACTCACAGTTGGATTCCTTGGCAGGTGAACGAGAGCCTGGACGGCCTTGTGAGGAGTGTGATGAAGATACACTCACTGTACGATCTGCCCGTGGAGTCCAGACAGGAGGCCTCCCACCCTGCAACATTCCTCTCCCACGTCAAGCTGGGTGACTACCATGACATGGAGGACAAGTTCAGCCATGAGTTGAAACTGTTCACCAAGAAAAGATTCTTTGATGTGAGTTACTATCAGTCACTAAGTATTGTCTGTCTCCACAGTAATCCTAAGTTGTACAGAGTCTGAATACCATGTATACAGATTGTGTGTACAGTGTCTGTATACATTGTGTGTACAGTGTCTGTATGGAGGATGTGTGTACAGTGTCTGTATGCAGGGTGTGTGTACAGTGTCTATGCCGGGTGTGTGTATAGTGTACAGTGTATGTAATAAGGATGTGTGTATAGTGTACTGTGTCAGTATGCAGTCTGTGTGTACTGTGTATGCAGGGTGTGTTTATGGTGTACAATGTCTGTATGCAGCAGGGGTCCGGAAACCGTCATATGCGCCGGACATGTCCGATTGGGAATCTCAAATGTCCGTTTTAAAATATTGCTTACCGGACATTTTAAAAAGTATTGTCCGGACATTCTTAAATTTTGACCGGACATGATCAACAGTTAGGACTGAGCAGTTCTGTCTGCAGTTGCAACACAAAGAAGATTAACTACACTGACAAGCTTTGTTTGTTTTGATTGCTGTAAATACATCGTACCTACATGATAGTCCAATCGGTCAATCACTTTAATAGGCAATAAACTGAGTTGACACTGATTAATCGAGGATTAATTACTGAGAACATCTTGTTAATTTGAGTGAAAGGTGTTTACAACTGTACATTAATACCTTGCATCATCGATGTACCTCATTATCCTCACAATGCTACGATACGTAACCTCAGACAAGAAGCGAAAGCGTGATGACAGCCAGTCGACCGATGCAGATCAGTCGTGGCTAACGACTTTCACTTGGTTGACATACAATGAGCATTTGCAGATTTTATTGTTTTCAGTAGCTAGTCGTATATTGAATCTTGATTGACCGCCATTTTGCTTTCTCGGACGATCGATATCCAATTTTTTTATGGTCAATAAATAAGTACAGATGAAAAAAGTATTCAAATAACTATTGCTATCAACGATATTTTAGTATTTGTGATTAAATTATCTGTCTTGTTTTTAAAAAAATCTTTAGTTTAAAAAAAACATTTCCCGTGAGGTCACGTGATAACCAAATATGGGATAATAGTCTCGATCCAAATGTTACAACGCGTACACTTGAGCAGACTCATGAATATAACTCATGAATATTAACTAGACCGTTCACTACGTTAACAGATCGTTATTATAACAGAAACAAACATATGTTTTCCATGTAAATCTAAAATGATATTATTTGTTATTAATTGTCCGGTGAATTAAACAATTTAAATTGAAACAATTCATAATTCATCATATTATGAATACGTAAACTTGTAATGTGTGTGAAAAGTCGTACTAAAATACGCTATTTGAAGGGGGCGTGGCCTAAATGCAAATGTCCGATTGGGATTTTAAATTTTCCGGACCCGTGGTATGCAGGTTGTGTTTATGGTGTACAATGTCTGTATGCAGAGTGTGTACTATGTCTGTATGCAGTGTATAGTGTCTGTATGCAGTGTATAGTGTACTGTGTCTGTATGCAGGGTGTGTGTTATGTACAGTGTCTGTATACAGGGTGTGTGTATAATGTACAGTGTCTGTATGCAGGGTGTGTATAGTGTACAGTGTCTGTATGCAGGGTGTGTGTATAGTGTACAGTGTCTGTATGCAGGGTGTGTGTACTGTGTCTATGCAGGGAGTGTGTGTACAGTGTCTGTATGCAGGGTGTGTGTATAGTGTACAATGTATGTATGCAGGGTGTGTGTATAGTGTACAATGTATGTATGCAGGGTGTGTGTATAGTGTACTGTGTCTGTATGCAGGGAGTGTGTATAGTGTCTGTATGCAGGGTGTGTGTTTAGTGTACAATGTCTGTATACAGGGTGTGTGTATAGGGTACTGTGTCTGTATGCAGGGAGTGTGTGTACAATGTATGTATGCAGGGTGTGTGTATAGTGTACAATGTCTGTATGCAGGGAGTGTGTATAGTGTACTGTGTCTGTATGCAGGGAGTGTGTATAGTGTCTGTATGCAGGGTGTGTGTTTAGTGTACAATGTCTGTATACAGGGTGTGTGTATAGTGTACTGTGTCTGTATGCAGGGTGTGTGTTTAGTGTACAATGTATGTATACAGGGTGTGTGTATAGTGTACGGTGTCTGTGTGCAGGGAGTGTGTGTACAATGTATGTATGCAGGGTGTGTGTATAGTGTACAATGTCTGTATACACTAGACACACTAAAATGGTTTTTGATAAGAAACTGATTGGTTTTCCAATATTGGTGCTACTTTAGTATCAAATATCTTGAAAATTACTTTATAATCAAATGGTTTTACATTCCTGAGTGATTTTAAAATACCAAACAATATTTTTTTGGCCTGAAGTGCAGCATTGCATACATGGTTAGACCAATTTAAAGTTTTTGAGAACGATACACCCAAATATTTATAAGAAGAAACACATTCTAATCTAATATCACCATAATACCATTTTTCATTTTTAGACAACATTCCTACTTTACTGAACACCATTACTTTAGTTTTATCAAAGTTAACAGTTAATGAATATCTATGACAAAAATCTTTAAGAACATCAATGCGCTTCTGTAGGCCAAATACAGTATCTGCAATTATAGCTACATCGTCCGCAAACAATAATAAAGACAGTTGAAGAAGTTCTGGATGGAACTGGATTCCTGGTTCATATTTGGATTCAATTTCTAGAGCCAAGTCATTAATGAACATATTAAACAGAAAGGGGCTTAGTATACAGCCTTGACGGACTCCAACATTACACGGAAAAAATCTGAAAGTTGGTTTTCATATTTAATTGTAAGTTTATCATTTATGTTAAAATGTTGTTTATGCAGAGACAGTACGCACATGCCCATCTATTTATAGCATATATATACATCACGTCCGGTTACCCACACTGCGCATGTGCTACAGTAATCCTTTGTCTCTGCCGTGCTTGCACTTTTGCTTCATACTTTGTCAGCGCACGTTATATATTAATTTTTACCCACCACCATCCCCAACCTCCACCTTTTTAACCTTTCTTTTTGTATTTACTCCTTTTACATATACTGTTAACATTGCTAGTCACAATGGGGTTACTCTGTATTTTAAACCCAAAGTAGCTTATCTATTCATTTTTATACCTCATTTTGACTGAGGGCCCATTCTCTACTTCACACTCATCTGCAATCCGTCCGGGGCGTACAGGGAACGACACCTAGTAAGTTGTACGTCTCTGTATTTCCACCATCGTCGCGCCACATCAGGGAACGACACCCAGCAGTGGATGTGGCGCTGTAATTCCAGCATTTACTTACCATATCCATCACTCAGTATTACTGGGCCCCAGTCCATGTTTTTTTCTACAATCGTTCTTGCCTATGTTTTACATGCTTTTTACAACCGTAGGGGGGACAGATGTCATACTTTTATTTGTTAGCTTAGCTAGGCATCTGTCCCCCAGTTTTTGTGCCAAACATAATAAATCATTAAATTTATGTTTTCTTTTGCTGTCTCTGCATAAAGGCAGGAGATAACATAATTATAAATAGATTGGATATTTTTATACATCTTTGGCGAGACTCTGTGTACGTTTAATACGTGCAAAATTTTAATCTATCAACAGAGTCAAACGCCTTGGAGAAGTCTACAAAAAGTGTATACACTTTGCTTCTCTTTTTACCTAAATATCGCTGAATGATAGATTGCAATATAAAAATATTATAATAGTATATAATACTATAAAAATAGTATACATGGTGTGTGTACAGTGTCTGTATGCAGATTATGTGTATAGTTTACAGTGTATGCAGGACGTTCTTATTATGTACAGTGTCTGTATGCAGGGTGTTGCGGAGATGGCTGGTCAGAACGAGGGGACAAAGTATGAGCTGCTGGAGGTGTCCAACCCAGAGTGTCTGATGGTGCGGGGAGAGAAGCAGGACATCATCGTGCAAGACTCCCAGGAGCTGGCCAGGCTGAAGGCTGTGTAAGAACACTGGAGACCAGGCCACATGTTTTAGTATAGCCCTCTGTGATACCAAGTTTTGAAACATCAGTATTCATTTGAGAAACATGTCAAGCTAATGTCCTGTGGATGTACATACATAACTGTAGGTTGGTTTTAATCTCTTGCTCTGCACAATGTGATTCATGTTGTGAAGAATCATCTGTATGATTATAGTATATGGTAGTGTCATTGCAAGTGTAGTTGAAGTGGTCAATACTTGTGCTGTGCAGGTATCCAATCAGTCAGAGTCAGCTGATAGAGGCGTCGGCAAGTGAGAAACAGATGTCTGCAACTGTCAGTCACACCCAAAAGATCATCCAACGGTTACAGTCGGGGGAGTTTCCCGTGGATCTGAATAAACTTCGGTATGTAGGAAGATTTGTTCATAACCAGGGCAACCTGCAAGAATACTTTGACTCAGTGACATATCACAAATATGATTGAATTGCCTTGCATCTGGTATCTTTCCTTCAATCCATCCTCCTACCTCACTGCCCCCCATCTGTCCATCTGTTGTCCATAAGCCCACTGAATTAAATTAATGTGCAACAAGTCATTGGTACAACAGTCTCTGTTGATAACTATACTGTGTGCTCACCTGAAACATTAAATTACCTTAATCATCAAGATGTGTCACTCATCTGTGTTCATGTTTCAGGGAGTCGGCCATCAGTGTGTTCATGTTTCAGGGAGTCAGCCATCAGTGTTCATGTTTCATGTAGTCACTCATGAGTGTGTTCATGTTTCAGGGAGTCACTCTTCAGTGTGTTTATGTTTCAGGGAGTCGGCCATCAGCGTGTTCATGTTTCAGGGAGTCAGCCATCAGTGTGTTCATGTTTCAGGGAGTCAGCCATCAGTGTGTTCATGTTTCAGGCAATCAGCAATCAGTGGTCATGTTTCAGGGAGTTAGCCATCAGTGTTCATGTTTCAGGGAGTCAGCCATCAGTGTGTTCATGTTTCAGGTAGTCAGCCATCAGTGTGTTCATCTTTCAAGGAGTCAGCCATCAGTGATCATGTTTCAGGTAGTCACTCATCAGTGTGTTCATGTTTCAGGGAGTCAGTCATCAGTGTGTTCATGTTTCAGGGAGTCAGCCATCAGTGTTCATGTTTCAGGTAGTCACTCTTCAGTGTGTTCATGTTTCAAGGAGTCAGCCATCAGTGTGTTCATGTTTCAAGGAGTCAGCCATCAGTGTGTTCATGTTTCAGGGAGTCAGCCATCAGTGTGTTCATGTTTCAGGGAGTCAGCCATCAGTGTGTTCATGTTTCAGGGAGTCAGCCATCAGTGTTCATGTTTCAGGGAGTTAGCCATCAGTGTGTTCATGTTTCAGGTAGTCAGCCATCAGTGTGTTCATGTTTCAGGAAGTCAGCCATCAGTGTGTTCATGTTTCAGAGAGTCAGCCATCAGTTTATTCATGTTTCAGGGAGTCACTCATCAGTGTGTTCATGTTTCAGGGAGACACTCATCAGTGTTCATGTTTCAGGGAGTTAGCCATCAGTGTGTTCATGTTTCAGGTAGTCAGCCATCAGTGTGTTCATGTTTCAGGAAGTCAGCCATCAGTGTGTTCATGTTTCAGGCAATCAGCAATCAGTGGTCATGTTTCAGGGAGTTAGCCATCAGTGTTCATGTTTCAGGGAGTCAGCCATCAGTGTGTTCATGTTTCAGGTAGTCAGCCATCAGTGTGTTCATCTTTCAAGGAGTCAGCCATCAGTGATCATGTTTCAGGTAGTCACTCATCAGTGTGTTCATGTTTCAGGGAGTCACTCATCAGTGTGTTCATGTTTCAGGGAGTCAGCCATCAGTGTTCATGTTTCAGGTAGTCACTCTTCAGTGTGTTCATGTTTCAAGGAGTCAGCCATCAGTGTGTTCATCTTTCAAGGAGTCAGCCATCAGTGATCATGTTTCAGGTAGTCACTCATCAGTGTGTTCATGTTTCAGGGAGTCAGTCATCAGTGTGTTCATGTTTCAGGTAGTCACTCTTCAGTGTGTTCATGTTTCAAGGAGTCAGCCATCAGTGTGTTCATGTTTCAAGGAGTCAGCCATCAGTGTGTTCATGTTTCAAGGAGTCAGCCATCAGTGTGTTCATGTTTCAGGGAGTCAGCCATCAGTGTTCATGTTTCAGGGAGTCAGCCATCAGTGTGTTCATGTTTCAGGCAGTCAGCCATCAGTGTTCATGTTTCAGGGAGTCAGCCATCAGTGTTCATGTTTCAGGGAGTTAGCCATCAGTGTGTTCATGTTTCAGGTAGTCAGCCATCAGTGTGTTCATGTTTCAGGAAGTCAGCCATCAGTGTGTTCATGTTTCAGAGAGTCAGCCATCAGTGTGTTCATGTTTCAGGCAGTCAGCCATCAGTGTTCATGTTTCAGGGAGTCAGCCATCAGTGTTCATGTTTCAGGGAGTTAGCCATCAGTGTGTTCATGTTTCAGGTAGTCAGCCATCAGTGTGTTCATGTTTCAGGAAGTCAGCCATCAGTGTGTTCATGTTTCAGAGAGTCAGCCATCAGTGTATTCATGTTTCAGGGAGTCACTCATCAGTGTGTTCATGTTTCAGGGAGACACTCATCAGTGTTCATGTTTCAGGGAGTTAGCCATCAGTGTGTTCATGTTTCAGGTAGTCAGCCATCAGTGTGTTCATGTTTCAGGAAGTCAGCCATCAGTGTGTTCATGTTTCAGAGAGTCAGCCATCAGTGTATTCATGTTTCAGGGAGTCACTCATCAGTGTGTTCATGTTTCAGGGAGACACTCATCAGTGTTCATGTTTCAGGGAGTCAGCCATCCGTGTGTTCGTGTTTCAGGGAGTCAGCCATCAGTGTATTCATGTTTCAGGGAGTCAGCCATCAGTGTGTTCATGTTTCAGGGAGTCACTCATCAGTGTGTTCATGTTGCAGGGAGTCCGTCATCAGTGTTTACATGTTTCAGGGAGTCCGTCATCAGTGTGTTCATGTTTCAGGTAGACAGCCATCAGTGTGTTCATGTTTCAGGGAGTCACTCATCAGTGTGTTCATGTTTCAGGGAGTCACTCATCAGTGTGTTCATGTTTCAGGTTGTCACTCATCAGTGTTCATGTTTCAGGGAGTCAGCCATTAGTGTTCATGTTTCAGGAAGTCCTGATTGTGTCAGTATACAGTGTGTACATGGTTCAGGAAGTCCTGATTGTGTCAGTATACTGTGTGTATATGATTAAGGAAGTCCTGATTGTGTCAGTATACTGTGTGTAGATGGTTCAGGAAGTCCTGATTGTGTCAGTGTACTGTGTGTACATGGTTCAGGAAGTCATGATTGTGTCAGTATACTGTGTGTAGATGGTTCAGGAAGTCATGATTGTGTCAGTGTACATGGTTCAGGAAGTCCTGATTGTGTCAGTATACTGTGTGTACATGGTTCAGGAAGTCACTAAACCGTTTCCATACATAACAAGGAGAGATCATACAACAATTTAAAAATAATTTAATACTGGCAGTCTAATCAAGATTCATATTATTTACAAACAGCAAAAGCAAGTATCAATCACAATAAAAACAGTCTTACTTTATGATGAAAAATCACATCATTTCCAAACAAGATCCAGTGAATGTTTCGTGTAATCCATAATACACCATAGTTCACAAATTGCCGACATGGCATACACAATTAAAGTTTAACATCTTGCCGACATGGCATGTCAGTTAACACCTCCAACCCGACCTGGGAACTGACCACTTTGTCTACCCGTTGAGCAATAGCCAAGCCACAATTGCATAACATCAGCCTTAACTTGGCTGTGAGCTTACCAGGGCTTACATATAGACAATGTGAAGTGAAGTGTGTAATTGGTCAGTGTTGATCACTGGCAATCTGTACACAAGCAACATAATATATGAAAAGGTAGGAATATACATTTCATGATAACAGAGTACATTTAATATATTCTACATATACGTATAGTAAATATACATGTATAATGGATTCTCATAACATTCCCCCACTTGAAAAGAAGTTTTTCATGTTCAAAAACTTCAAAGCTTAACTATGTACAACAATTGTCATAAAACACATCATGATCACACATCATAATTCAGGAAATCATGTTCCACAGTTTGAAAATATAGCTGGTTTTGCTTTTCAGTTCATAGGGGTGAATGTAAATTGTCACCTCCGTTCACACTGCACGTGAGAGTGCATCAGCCAATATATTGTCTTTTCCCTTGATGTGCTGAATGTGCAGATCAAAGTTCTCAAGCTGAATGCTCCAGCGCATTAGTCGCTGATTCTTGTTCTTTAGTTTCTTCACAAACACAAGCGGATTGTGATCTGTGAACACAAGTATTGGTGTCACCGTTGTACTAAGGTACACTTCAAAGTGTTGGAGAGCTAGTATCAGGGCCAGTCTCTTTCTCTATGGTTGAGTAGTTTCTCTGATGAGTGTCAAATTTTTTGCTAAAGTAGCAAATGGGATGGTCTATCCCCAAATCATCTTCTTGCTGTAGTACTCCTCCTGCCCCTATGTTACAGGCATCAACATAGAGCTTGAAGGTCTTGTTGAAGTTTGGCACAACCAACACAGGTGCATTAGTTAGAATAGCTTTGATCTTCTCAAAGGCCTGTTGTTGAGACTTTTCCCAGTTAAACTTGCAGTCTTTCTTCAATAGATTGGTCAATGGAGCTGCTACTTGAGAAAAGTTCTGACAGAACCGGCGATAATATCCAGCCATCCCTAAGAATCGCATCAGTTCTTTCCTGGTTGTAGGTTCTGGAAACATGTTCACAGCTTCTACTTTGGCCTGGACAGGTTTAACTTCACCTTGTCCCACAACATGTCCTAAATACACCACTGTGGCCTTCACGAATTCACTCTTGGACAAGTTGATCGTGAGTTTAGCACGGGTTAGAGAGTCAAATAACATTCTCGTGGTCTTCATCTGATCATCCCACTCAACTGTAGCCACAATGACGTCATCAATGTATGCCTCACAATGGTCAATACTTGCTGTGATGGTGTTGATAAGTCTTTGAAAGGTAGCTGGGGCATTCTTCAATCCAAAAGGCATTACATTATACTGATATAAGCCTTCTGGTGTGACTAGAGCTGATACTTGCTTTGCCCTATCTGTTAACGGGATCTGCCACTCATAGTCTGTGACACACTTTCAGCACACCTATCATAGTAAGTTTTCATCATATTGATATGACAAACTCTTTTGGACTTTCTCCGATCTGGAGTCTCTATGACATAATCTGTGTCACTCAATTTCTTGTGTACAAAATAAGGGCCATAGTACCTAGCTCTTAGTGGGTGTCCTGGTATTGGTAAAAGAATGAGGACTTTATCACCTGGTGCAAACTCCCTATGTTCTGCCTTTTTATCATACCAGGTTTTCATCTTCTCTTGGC